CACCGGTTCATCAGGGGTTAATAGTCCTGCGTGGTCACTGCCAGCTCCCTCCCAGCACCTCCCCGTGCCAGGATCTGCAGGGCCCCAGCGCTGCCTGGGCCGAGGGGGAAGCTTCCCAGAAGCGGCTGGGGAGACGTACAGAGGTTTCCGGGCACAAGGGCTCTTACCAGGCTGCAATGCCCCATCCTGCCCCCGCTGGCTGCAGCTTGCGCCTTGCCTGGCTTGCCCCCGGCTTGCCACAAGCTGGGGAGCCTGGCTCTTGGCAAGGAGGGGCTGGAGGTCCAGCGGAACGTCCCCTCACCCTCACTACGGTGCGCGGCAGAGCTAGACTTTAAATGCCAGTCTGGGACACGAGAGCCGCCGTGCTCCGCTCTGGGATGCCTTCCCCCACTGGAGAGCAGGGGTGAGGCTTTGGCTGCCCTCCGGAGCCACGTGGGCCCTTGGTGCCCTCTGCCTCCGCAAAAACGAGTCGTGGCGGAGTTCGAGCCCCGCCCGGGTTAGCTCCCACTTTGCCTTCCAGGCACCCCCTGGGCCCTCTCTGGTCTCCGGTCCCTGCCGCCGGAAACTCACAGACCTTACAAAGGCCACTCTCTGCAAGGATACAGGGCCAGCTGAGTCTTCACACGCTACTTAGGAAACCAGTGTCGGTAACGGCCAGCGCTCGACGGGGTGCTCAGCAAAGATAAGAGCAACCGAAAACACTGACAAACAAAGGCAGCTATCAAGGCTGTTCCCCACTCTGGCACGACGAATGCAGAAGTTGGGGGCCGCAAGAGCACTCCAAAACTTTGCCTCTACAGGCTCTTGTACAAAAACTTCCCCCCAAAATCCTAATACCCAGACTTTGGAGAATCCACTGCTACCATACAGTGCTTTTGAACCCACAAACAGGGGTGGACACTTGAAACCTCAGAGGTACCCCAAGCTCTTTTGCCCCAAAAGGGCTTGATAAAGAAAAGAGAAAACCAAGCGGCAGTCTCTGGTAGCTGACCCCAGTCAGGCATGCAGATACACACAGACAAACCTTCCAGGACACAAGAATCAACCAGTATCAGTTAGTTAGAAAAAAAGAAACAATCATTCATCATCAAAACAAAACTCCAGTTGCAAGCCTAGTGAATTGGCTAGATGGAAAGAGCCACCATTTATATAGATACTCAGAGAGAGTCCCTGGGCTGAAGGCTTAGTTACAAAAGAGGAAAAAACCCCACTTAGCCAGCTCAGACATTATTTCCAAATCCCCGAACAAGGAAAACAACAAATCCTGACGGACTAGCTACACTTTTCCCTGCTTACACACTGTGAGAAGTCCGTTCTTGGAGACGGAAGTGTCTCCCATCTCCCTCAATAGTTGGAAGAAACTGCTCTGCCTCTCAAACAAAAACGAAAAAAAGAAAAAAAAAACTTTTTCAGTTTGAAATTCCTACCTGCATTGTTATTGGCTGACCACCCAACACCTGGCTAGGTACAGGAGACATTGGTTAACCCCTTAGTCACCGGGTGCTGGTCAGCACTCTTGATTGTGACAAGAGCCCACACATTCTAGTCCAACACAGCTCCTCGGTGTGTCTAACACCCTCGCACACACAAACGCTTCTCTGTAGCTTGCTGGCAGGCCCTCCAAGTCCCCGGGCCCTTCACGTAGACTCCCCCATCAGTCCAGTAACCCTCTGAAATGTGCCCGTTGCTGTGTCCCCCCAAGTCTCTTTCCCATCGGTGATCCCCTGCCCCCTGTGCCTAGCGAGGGGCAGGGTTGCCAGGTGTCCGGTATTCACCTGGACAGTCCGGTATTTTCGGCTCCTGTCCAGTAAAAAAAAAAAATTCAGAGAATACCGGACACCTGAGATATCTGGTATTTTCTGAATTTTTCCCCGGCCAGAAGGCAAAACTGTCAGGCACCTGGGAGCCCTACAAACACTCAGCGCCTGGCCTCCCCCGCCCCGAACCTCCCCTGGCCCCCAACACCTCCAGTTTTTTTTTTTTAATTCTGTATCCCCTCCCCTCCTTTGGGCTGCGTGCTCAGCCCAACTGCCATTCAGTGCTCGGCCTGAGAACGGCCTCTCCCCCCACCCCCGCCCTCCGGGTGCTCCGTCCCGCCGCAGCTGCCCAGGCCATGCAGCTACGCTCCCCTGCTCTGCAGGGTGGGGGCTGCAGGCCATGCTCACCCCCGCCCAGGTCTCCCGGCAGGCCAGCAGCACGGCACCGTAAGCCTGTCCACCTACGTGCGCCCTTGACTCACCGTGTCCTGCTAACGGCCTTCACCAAGGCTCCAGGCTGTTTACAGACCCAGAGGGCAAAAGGGGACCCCAAGGGCTCAGGCAGGATTGATTGTGCCTAGATCAGTGTTTCTCAGCCAGTGGTGCGAGTACCCTTAGGGGTACTTGAGAGACGTCTGGGGGGGACGTCAACACAACTGACATTTGGAGAAAACAGAATTTGTTTGAAGTTTGACAGCGCTGGATTATTTTTGTCCTTTTTACACCCACAAATTTCATCGCCTGCCCGGCGCCGATTAAGTTGTTCAAACAAATGTGTTGCAATGGTAGAAAAAAATGTTGTGAGTCTGAAAACTGTAGGTACTGGGGGTACTTCTACGTTTTTTTAAAAGGGGTACTTTATAAAAAAAAAAAAAAAGGTCGAGAAACACTGACCTAGACCATCCCAGGCACCCGCCTCCTTTTTCTAGGCTCCAGAGAAGGAGCTTCTCTCAAGCATCTGGTCCATCGTCCTGCTGCTTGGATGTTGCTCGGTCCCTCTGCCTCTTGCCCTGTCCTCCGTGGCAGGAGAACACGTTGTCTCCAGCGTTTCTGTCACAGTCTTTCATGTAGCTGAAGGCTGTGGTCAGCTCCCCCGCCATCGCCTCTTTGCCACAGGAACCAGACCCGGGTCCTTCAGCCTTTGTTCGCTCGGCTGCATCCTTCCCTTGGCTCTGCCTTGTCACTGGCCTCTGGAGCTTTTCCCGTTTCTTTGCATCCCTCTGTCGGGGAGCCGGGACAGCCCAGCCTTGACAATGAATGGGGACATCTGCATCCACCACAGTGCGGGTCCCTAGAAAGCAAAACCCAGGCCTGTCTCAAGTCCGGTGCATGTAGCACGCAGGAAAAGTCCAGGGAGAAGCTTTGAGAGACAGGAATGGTTTGAATAACAAAGCAGATGACGCACGGCACAGCGAGACCACATCAAAACCACACGACGAGCAACCTTGCACTGGTACTTCTGATTCTGACAAGCAAAAATTACAGATGCAGCTATGAAACTGTCAAGTACGCACGGAGTTTAGGCAACATCCCGGGTAGCAGGATGTACCCTAAATAGGGCATTGTAGGGATCTTATACCAGTGTCACTCAACCCTTCTTTATAAAGTCCCCCTTTAAAAAAGAAACGTATAAGTACCCCCAGTACCTACAGTTTTCAGACACACAACATTTTTTTCTACCATTGCAACACATTTGTTTAAATAAAAGCGGCGAGGAGTCCTGTGGCACCTTATAGAGTAACTGAAGTGTTGGAGCACAAGCTTTCGTGGGCAAAGACCCACTTCATCAGATGCATGGTCTTTTCATGGTCTTTGCCCACGAAAGCTTGTGCTCCAACACTTCAGTTACTCTATAAGGTGCCACAGGACTCCTCGCCGCTTTTGCAGATTCAGACTAACACGGCTACCCCTCGGATACTTGTTTAAACAACCACCATAGCCGGGTGGGTGATGAAATTTTTGGGTGTAAAAAGTACAAAAATAATAAAACGCTGTAAAATCTAAATCAAAATTCCGTTTTGTCCAACTTTCCGTTGTGTTGATGTACCCCCCAGACTTCTCTCAAGTACCCCTAAGGATACTCATACCACTGGCTGAGAAACACTGCTTTGTACAATACGGAATCAACTGGTAAATATTGTTAGAACGACCAAGTCTCGCTTTGCTAGAAAATGGGCTTAATAAAAAGAATCGAGGGGAGGGAACGAACAGGATTGACCCACCGGTTCTGCTCGATGTAACCAGAAGTAAAAAGGCCCTTCACACTGGCGACCCCGTGAACGTTGTCCCGACACGTAGGAATCGTGGGAATCACGACCTCCTGCCTGGTACTGTAAGCAGCATACGGGTGAAGTGTAAGTGACCTAGGCTCTGTTATTGTATTATAGTAGATCATCTGTTAATTACTTTTGCATTGCTTTGCCCTGTATTAATTGCTCTAGAATTTATAGTATTTAAGGTTTAAATTGTACAGTCATTGTTTTTAAGGCTTGTGAAACTTAAACAACTATATTAACTGCTTAAAGCCGGCAATAAATAAGAAAGTGGTTAAGTTTCCCTGGAGTGTCCTGGTTTCCCTTGGATCTAAAATAATCAAACCACACGCCACCTTCTTAGATGCTAGTGAGCAAAACTGGGCACAGTGCCCCAGCTGAGACCTGCCCAGCGCCGAGTGGAGCAGCACGCTCACTCCTGTGACTGGCATGTTCGGCCTCGGCTAACGCACCCTGAAACAGAACTTGCTTTTCTTGCACCGGCAGCTCATTGCGGACTCGTACTGAGGTTGGGATCCCGCCCCCCAGCAGATCCTTCCAGCAGCGCTGCCACCGAGGCAGTCGCCCCACCCTCTGGATTGGCTTTTCCTTCCCCGAAGGCAGCACTTTCACCGTGTCTTTCTTGGATTGCATTGTGTTGTCTAGAGCCCATTCTCCTGTTTATCAAGATCCCGCTGACTCTGAGCTCTGTCCCGCACGGTGCTGGCAGCCCCCTCAGCTTTGTGTCATCTGCAAAGCTGCTCGGATGCTCGCTAGTGCTACATCCAGGTCATTCATAAAGAGGCTAAGCCACGCCTGACCCAGAACAGATCCCCATGGATCCCACCTGAGACCTTGCTCCAATCCGCCATCTTTCCACTCGTGGGACCCTTGTTTAACCAATTCTGTATCCACTGGATGGCAGTTCTGTCCAGCCCACATTTCTCCAGCTTCCTCACCAGCCCAAACAGTCAAATCCTCGCTGAAGTCCAGGTGTTGCCCACCACTTCCCCCAGTCCACCAAACCAGTCACCTGGTCAGTGACGGAAATCGAGCTGGTTTGGCAGGACTCGCTCTTGGTCCATCCATGCCGGCTGCTGCGATCACCCCTCCGGCCTCGGCAAACCGAATGCTTTGGACATTGTGCTGGGTGCTTCCCAAGGATCGAGGTCAGGCCAACTGGTCCATAGTTCCCCAGCTCCTGCTTTGTAAAGATGGGTACCATGCTGGCCCTTCTCCAGTTGCCTGGGACCCCTCCTGTCATCCATGAGTGTGCAAATATTATTGCCAGTGGCTCTCTGATTTCTTCAGCCAATTCCTGCAGCACCCCGGGGTGAACGGCACCCGGCCCTGCTGATTTAAACGCATTCAGATTGGTCAGAAGATCTGGCAGCTTCTTTACTTATCCAGTTTGCCTCAGTTCCCCCTTCTTGTCTATGGTAACTTTGCCAATGCTCTGGGCACATTATCATCACGTTGCTATCAAAAGGATGGCGAGCCACTGTTCTCCCATGACAGCAGAATAAGAATTACAGAAGAGTGCCGAGAGTGGGCGGGACCAATGGTCCATATAGCCTTGTATTTTGCCTTCTGACAGTGGCTGGTGCCAGGAATATTAAAGGGAATGAACAGAACAGAGCAATTATCAAATGATCCAGCCCAGCTTCTGGCAGTTGGAGGTCTAGGGACACAGAGCATGAAGCTGCATCCCTGATTACCTTGGCCAATGGCCATTGATGGAGCGATCCCCCATGAACTAATCTAATTCTTGCTGGAACCCAGTTAGGCTTTTGGCCTTCACAACATCCCCTGGCAGGGAGTTCCACAGGTTAGCTGAGTTATGTGACGAAGTATGTCCACTGCCTGTTAATTTCATTGGGTGACGACTGATGTGTGCGTGCTGAGTGTTGGCCAAACACCTGTCAGGGCTGGTCTTGGTTTACTTGGGCCTGTCTCGGTGCAGGGGGCTGGACTAGGTGACTTCTCGAGGTCCCTTCCAGCCCAAAAGTTCTGCAATTCTGTGCACTCACTGCCTGAGAACAACTTAGAGCAATGAATGAATGCTGCTTCAGGTCCCCTTGCACCTGCAGAGTGCACACCTCCCCCACACCTGCAGTGTCCACCACACACTCAAATCACACTCCCCTTCCTGTCTCATCTGTGATCACAAAGCACCATTCAGCAGTGGCTCACTTTCATCATCCCTAGTTTACACATGGGAAACTGATTTGGAGGCAAAGTGACTCTGCCAGGGTCATACCGCACATCGGTGGCAGAGGACAACACCTAGCAGTTCCAATTTCCACTCCCAAACTACAGTCCCAGCTTGTGTTCCTACCCAGTCACCACTCTGGTTAGCTCAGAACAAACCCGCCTCACAGCTGCCAGGCCTTGAGAAGTTTGCATGGACAGTTTATTTGTTTTCACAACAGAAATACAAAGAGCAAAATTGTTCTGAATTTTTTTAAAACTTTTTTTTTTTTCCTTTTAAACATAATGCAAACTTTCGATGCGGAAGCCGCAGCCTCTTCATGTCTTTCCGTTAACCACAATGCAAGACAGAGAGAAGGGGGAGGGAGAGTCCTTTTTTTTTTTTCTTTTCCAATAAGGTAATAACTAGATCTAGAGACACGTGGCCTGGGTTTTCATATAGAAAAAAATGAAAAAAAGATGTGTTAACAGTATGTATAAGAGGCATATTTACACAGTATTAACATGCTGACAAAAAGGTTACAATATTGAATATCGTACAACATCGATTCAGAAACAAAGGTCCGGGCAGGGGGCAGGTTAAAAAGAGAATCAAATTAATAAACAGAATAGGCAATAAACAAACAACCTGGTAAAACAATGATATAGTTAAGGCTTAAAAAGTGTATAAAAATAACACAGTTAATATCCAAAACGGAACCAAAGAGTACATAATATATATGCGGTTTTGTCTAGTCTTTTTTGGAGAGCTGGGGGTGCCGGGCATTCAGGAGCGGGCCTTTATACATAGGTGCTATCTATATCTATAGATATATATATACCCACACAAACACACACACATATATATCTATCTATATCTATAACCCCATGTATCTGCACACACACTCCGGCATGGGCGTGGCTTTCCCAAGAGGGGCCCATCTGCTTGCTGCTTTTTCAATCCCATACTGGGCTGGTTTCACCCCATGGGAAGGGATCTCTGAATTGCTGGTGGGGAGGGGAGGGGTCCGTTCTGCTAGCATCAAGCTCTCTTGGTTGGGGGATTTGGTCTGGCAGGACGACTCCTGCTGGGGAGGGTGTTTTCTTGGACAATGCACAGCGCCTCCTGCTGGATTGGGGAGTGAGCAGCCAGCCGCACCAGCTCCCACCGAGACCCTCCCACGGCCCTGCCAGAGTAGCGGAGCTCCTGCCCGAAGGATACTGCCCTGGTGGGTTGGTTCCTGCTGCCGCCGCCGTCGCTCTGGCTGGCTCAGGCCCCTCCAAACCTGCTGCCCTGCAGGCGTTGCCACATCTGGAAGAGTCCCTTCTGCTCTTTGCGTCTCCGTGCGTGGAACAGGCGGCGCAGCAGGGCAGGGCCGGGGGAGCAGATGCACAGCCCCCTCGCCGGGGGAGTCACGCTCCGGCCCATCTGCCCTGGCAGCAGGCTCTGCAGCCCCCCAAGGCCAGAGAGGAAGCTGGGGTGCCAGCTGTCCTGAGGGGATCACAGGTGGAGCAGCGAGAACCATACCTCTCCTGGACACAATGGGGTGACCCAGGGAAGGGCGGGGCCTTGTGTTGCCAGATTTCTCCCCCAAGCTTGCTCCACGGCCCTGCTGTGGGACTGCACTGTTGGGGCTGGTTTCCGGGGGTGCAGCTGCTCCGAGGGCAAGGGGGAGAAATGCCGTTCCGGGAACGCAGACCGCTCAGTGTTTGTCCCATCACCCACCTGACCCGCCACGCAGTCCCAGGACGGAGAGCCAACTCCACGGGCACTGCCCCAGGGCACGCTGGCTTTCCTGCCCCCTTGCTGGGGAGGGAGCTGCTCTGGCACCTCTAGCCAGGAGCCGCGGGGCTCAGCTTGCTCCTACTCCACTGACCTCCGGCAGCAGAATCCAACAGGTCCACGCAGCGCTAAAGTCAGGGCTCAGCCCCAGCGCCAGCAACAGGGCAAGGCAGGCTGCCCCCGCCCCCCCCCGCCCGTCGACACCCCCCGCCTCCGTCACGGCTGCTCAGCCCAGCCCCGCCTGCGAGCCACCTGGCCCGCAACTCCCGCCGGCCCGCGTACAGCCCAAAGCCCGGCCCTGGCCGAGCGCCAGCCCCATGCAGAACTGAGTGGCGCACAGGGCACCGGGGCCAGTCCCAGGCCAGCGTACGCAGAGCTCGCGGGGCCCACGCCAGCCAGCAGATGTCCCGGTGGGCACCAGGCCAGCAACACTCTGCCGGGGGCCCAATCCAGGCAACCGGGCTCCAGGAAGTGAGGGGGAGAGGAGATCCCAGGGCCCCTGGCCCGGGCGGCTGCTGCTCTGGAAGCCCTGGTAGCCTGGGCTGCTGTGGAGCCCCTGCTTAGCCTGTGGAGGGCACCCCTCACACGCCCCCCTCAGAGCTCCTGCTGTGAGCCCCACACCCCTTCAGCCCAGGGCCCAAGTGCCCCTCCCTGCCACGTGCCACACCTGGCCTAGCAGAGTCAGGGGCTGGAAAGGGCAGCCCCCAGCGAGGCGGATACCAGAGCTGGCCACCACCTGCCAACTCGCTACCCCCCCACGATGCTCCCAGCAGACAGTGCGCTGGCACCATCTGGGGGACCCTGCTTAGCCCCAAGGGGAACGTGGCACGCTGGGACCTGTGGGCTGCCCTTCGGCACAGGGGTGGCCCTGTGGGAGGCGGGCGTGGGCTCCCGAAGCCACCGCTTCCCTGCAGCCGGGACGCCCCGCGCCGCAGGGGCAACGTGCAGCCAGCGCCCCCCACAGCTCGAACCAGAACCAATTCAACAGACCAAAGGAAACCACCAAAATCAGACCAAGGGCGGAGCAGGGCGTCTGCGGAACCGGGCCCTCCTCCTGGGGCCGTGGCTCCAGCACCCGACCCCTCGCCAGCGCCTGCAGATCTCACCCCAGCCGGCGAGCGAAGCCAGCCCCCTCCGGGGCCTCCCAGGGGCTCCCAAGAGAGAGTCCGGGAGGGGCAGCAGGTACTAAGCACCAGGCTGGGCACATCCCAGAGTCTCGTCCTGAGAGCGGAGGAGCCGGAGCGCCAGGCCCGGGATCCTGCCTGCCACCCCCGCCAGCGCTTCTCTGTCCAGGGCGGGGGTTCAGTTTTAGCAGCACCAACGTCTCGGCCAATACAGATCTATCTCTGCGCATATCCAGAGGGGAGCGGGGAGGACGGGGGCGAGGGCAGAAAGAAAGGAACAAAACAAAACAAAAAGAAAGAAAATGAAGAAACCAAACACAGAGATTCAAAGTGCTCTGAAATTGTCTTTGGATGTCACCAAACCTGTGGGCGAGTCCCTGGCTCTCCTGGCAGGGTTCAGGGTGCGGGGCCAGGGCCGAGGGGCGTTCTCCAGACATGAATTCAGTCATTCATTTCTCCTAAGAGACGCGGGTCTTCTCGGTCGCTCCCCCTGGCCCGGCGGGCAGGGCGCTCGGTAGCGGTGCTGGGGGGTGGTCCGTGTGATCATCTCCAAGCCGCCCTCTGGCCCCGGGCAGGCCGGAATGGGGGAGCTGCACAAGGTGGGGGGCGAGGGAACCCCGGTTTAGATGAGCGAGATCCGCACCGGGATGCCGGGTGACTCCGTCCTTTGAGGCGAGTGCTGGCTCACCAGGTGTTCCACCACGGTGTGTTTGGACATGTGCTTCATCAAATACTCCGTGTGATCATCTCCAAGCCGCCCTCTGGCCCCGGGCAGGCCGGAATGGGGGAGCTGCACAAGGTGGGGGGCGAGGGAACCCCGGTTTAGATGAGCGAGATCCGCACCGGGATGCCGGGTGACTCCGTCCTTTGAGGCGAGTGCTGGCTCACCAGGTGTTCCACCACGGTGTGTTTGGACATGTGCTTCATCAAATACGTCTCCTGCGGGGGGAGAAAGCCGGGTGGGGGGGTAAGAGCTGCAGCGGGGGGGCGCCGCC